GGGGTACTACCAGGACCGGCCCGCCGCCGCCGCCTGCGTCCGCTGCGCTGCTGGCAAGTTTTGCCCGGTGGGGTCGTCGCGCGAGCTGGACGCGCAGTGCGAGGCGGGCACGTACGCGAGGCTGACCGACCGGAGCGGCGACCCCGAGTGCCTCGACTGCCCCGCCGGCTCGTCGTGCGGCGGCGGGGCGGCACCGCCGTCCGAGTGCTCGCCGGGCTCTTTCGCCGCCACGGCCGGCCTCTCCGAGTGCGCCAGCTGTGCGGGCGGGACGTACCAGGGCGAGTCGAACGCGACGAGCTGCCTTCCGTGCGTGGAGGGCAGCTACTGCGCCGAGGGCGCGTCGGCGCCGCTGCCGTGCGTTGCGGGCAGCTACTCGACCGCCACCAACCTCACCGCCGCGGGCGAGTGCACCGACGCCTCGCCGGGCCACTTCGCCACCACCGGCTCCACCGAGCCGACGGCGTGCCGCGAGGGCAGCTTCGCCAACGGCACCCGCAACGACGCGTGCGAGCTGTGCCCCGAGGGGTACTACCAGGACCAGCCCGCCGCCGCCGCCTGCGTCCGCTGCGCTGCTGGCAAGTTTTGCCCTCAGGGGTCGTCGCGCGAGCTGGACGCGCAGTGCGAGGCGGGCACGTACGCGAGGCTGACCGACCGGAGCGGCGACCCCGAGTGCCTCGACTGCCCCGCCGGCTCGTCGTGCGGCGGCGGGGCGGCGCCGCCGTCCGAGTGCTCGCCGGGCTCTTTCGCCGCCACGGCCGGCCTCTCCGAGTGCGCCAGCTGTGCGGGCGGGACGTACCAGGGCGAGTCGAACGCGACGAGCTGCCTTCCGTGCGTGGAGGGCAGCTATTGCGCCGAGGGCGCGTCGGCGCCGCTGCCGTGCGTTGCGGGCAGCTACTCGACCGCCACCAACCTCACCGCCGCGGGCGAGTGCACCGACGCCTCGCCGGGCCACTTCGCCACCACCGGCTCCACGCAGCAGACGGCGTGCGCCAAGGGGTCGTACACGGACGCGTACGGGCAGGGTGCGTGCACGCCCTGCGCCGGCGGCACGTACCAGGACGAGGAAGGCAAGACGGCGTGCGAGCCGTGCGAGGCGGGAAGCTACTGCGCTGTTGGCGCGGCGGCGGCGCTGCCGTGCGAGGCTGGCAGCTACTCGAGCGCCACCAACCTCACCGACGCGAGCGAGTGCACCGACGCCACGCCGGGCCACTTCGCCACCACCGGCTCCACCGAGCAGACGGCGTGCCGCGAGGGCAGCTTCGCCAACGGCACCCGCAACGACGCGTGCGAGCTGTGCCCCGAGGGGTACTACCAGGACCGGCCCGCCGCCGCCGCCTGCGTCCGCTGCGCTGCTGGCAAGTTTTGCCCGGTGGGGTCGTCGCGCGAGCTGGACGCGCAGTGCGAGGCGGGCACGTACGCGAGGCTGACCGACCGGAGCGGCGACCCCGAGTGCCTCGACTGCCCCGCCGGCTCGTCGTGCGGCGGCGGGGCGGCGCCGCCGTCCGAGTGCTCGCCGGGCTCTTTCGCCGCCACGGCCGGCCTCTCCGAGTGCGCCAGCTGTGCGGGCGGGACGTACCAGGGCGAGTCGAACGCGACGAGCTGCCTTCCGTGCGTGGAGGGCAGCTACTGCGCCGAGGGCGCGTCGGCGCCGCTGCCGTGCGTTGCGGGCAGCTACTCGACCGCCACCAACCTCACCGCCGCGGGCGAGTGCACCGACGCCTCGCCGGGCCACTTCGCCACCACCGGCTCCACGCAGCAGACGGCGTGCGCCAAGGGGTCGTACACGGACGCGTACGGGCAGGGCGCGTGCACGCCCTGCGCCGGCGGTACGTTCCAGGACAAGGGCGGCAAGATGGACTGCAAGCCGTGCAAGCAAGGCAGCTACTGCGCTGTTGGCGCGGCGGCGGCGCTGCCGTGCGAGGCTGGCAGCTACTCGAACAAGACGAATCTCGACTCGGCGGGCAGCTGCGAGGACTGCCCGTCGGGCCACGCTTGCAGCACTGGCAGCGTGGCTCCCTTGGCTTGCCGCGCCGGCACGTTTGCTGCCGGCTCTCGCAACGCCGAGTGCGAGCCGTGCAAGGCGGGATCCTACCAGAACGCCATCGGCGCTGCCGGCTGCGTCCGGTGCGGGCTTGGCAGCTCCTGCCCTATCGGTGCGTCGCTCGAGCTGCCCGCGGCGTGCGAGCCGGGCACGTATGCCAACGTCACGGACGGCGACGGCATCCCCGACTGCTTCGACTGCCCGGCGGGCTCGTCGTGTCCGGGCGGGGCTGCGCGTCCGACGCAGTGCGCGGCAGGCACGATCGCGCCGGCCGAGCGGATGGAGGCGTGCAACAAGTGCGCGGGCGGGACCTACCAGAACGACACGGGCGCGACATCCTGTCGCGCTTGCGAGGCGGGCAGCTACTGCGCCAAGGGCGCGGCGGCGCCGCTGCCATGCGACAAGGGCAGCTACTCGCGCGCGACCGACAACGACGAACCGGACGACTGCACGCCGGCCGGTGCTGGCTATTTCGCGGTGACGGGCTCCACCGAGCAGACGCCGTGCTCGCCGGGCACTGTCACCGCTTCCAGGGGACAGAGCATCTGCCAGAAGTGCCCCGCCGGCGAATATCAGGACGCGAGCGGCGCCACCAACTGCATCGCGTGCGTGCCGGGCCATTACTGCGCCGAGGGCGCCTCTGCGCCGCTGCCCTGCCCCGCCGGGACGCGCATCAACGCCTCCCTCGACCTCATGACGAGCAAGGACGACTGCATCACCTGTCCGGCCGGCACGTTCTGCCCGACCGGCTCCGATGACGCCAACGATTGCGCGCCGGGCACCTTCACCGCCCTCGCCGGACAGAGCATCTGTGAGAGCTGCCCTCGCGGCACATCCTCCGGCGCCGGCAGCTCTTCCTGCGACGAGTGCGCTGCCGACACTTACGCCGCCAACGTGGGTCAGGGCGAGTGCATCCCCTGCCCCTACCCTCTTGCTAGCGGCACCGGCAGCGTCACCTGCTCCGTCTGCAAGGCTGAATTCTACCTGAAGGCGAGCGTCGATGTGGATGGCGTCTTCAAATCCCCAACCAAGCACTGCGTCCCGTGCCCGCCGGACGCCACGTGCCCGACCAACACCACCCTCGAGACCCTCGTCCTCCCGCGCGGCTTCTGGCGCGCCAGCCCCTCCTCCGCCGTGCTGACAGACTGCCGCCTCTTTGGCGGCAATGCCAATGCCGGCGAGACGCGATGCGCCGGCAGCGAGACGGTGGCGGGAGGGGCCTCTCGCCGCCGGAGGCTGGAGGAGGCGAGCTCGGACGCGTACTGCGCTTCTGACTTCAAAGGCCCCGAGTGCCAGCTCTGCGCCGCGGAGAATCACTACCTCGTCGACGGCGATGAGTGCGAATTATGCGCTCCGCGCGACGCGGCGGCTGGCCGCATCGTGGGCCTCGTCCTCGGCCTCTGCGTCGCGTGCGGCTTGGCGGCGTGGGCCTACAACATGCCGTGGCGGAAGGAGCGCTTCATCGGCCCTATCCTCCGCTTTGCAGACCGCTCCGTCAAGTACTACGTCGGCGTCGGAATGACGGCCAAGCTCAAGATCCTCTTTGGCTTCTACCAGATCTGCACTGTATTGTCCTCCACCTACTCCGCGCGGCTGCCGGACAAGTACACGGGCTGGACGGATAAGCTGGCCAACGTGATCTCCATCGACTGGTCTGGCTTTTTCATGCCGGAGCAGTGCCTCGGCTACGCTCTGCGGCTCCTCGCCATCGCCCTCTCCCCCGTCGCCCTCATCGCCCTGCTAATGGTCGCGGGAATAAGCCTGCGGCTCCACTGCTGGCGCGTCGCCCCGGCGCCGCGCGCGAGGCCGTGGTACGCGGAGGCGGCCCTCGGCCTCCTCGACCTCACGCCGGCGGGCCTGGTGCTCATCTTCTGCTTCGTGCCCTCCATCAGCGCCTCCATTTTCCAATCCTGGTCGTGCCAGGCGCCCTCTCACAGCTGATGACTGCCGCTGCTCACAACCCCACCCCTCCGGCCTCAGTCCTCGTAACGTTCTGCTGATAGGCCTACACCACCTCTCCGCCTGGCGAGGAGCTAGAGCAGGTCTCCTACATGCGGCAGGACGCGAGCGTCGAGTGCGGCTCCGACGCTCACGGACCCATCACCGGCCTCGCCATCGGTTTCATCGTCCTCTGGCCCGCGGGCTCGCTGGTCCTCTTCACGTCGCTCCTCGCCGCCTGCTACAAGCCGCTGCAGGCCAAGACGCCGAATGCTCTGACGCGGGCCACCGCCTTCCTCCACCGGGAGTACGAGAAGACCTGGTACTGGTGGGAGGCGGTCGAGCTGGCGCGCAAGCTCGTGCTCACAGGCTTCGTGCTGCTGATACCGGAGGAGCGAGCCTTTGTTCGCCTCGTGGTGGCGACCCTAGTCTGCTCATGCTACGCCGTCGCGCTCGCCGTCGTGCGGCCGTACAAGCGGGTCGAGGACAACGTGCTCGCCGTCGCCACGAGCCTCGTGCTCCTCCTCCTCTTCCTCGGTACCAACTGGAGCACCATCTTCCTCGGCATCCAGGAGCGCTCCGGGATCGATGATGCCAATGCAGTCCTCGGCTTCCGCAGCCTCAATGTGATTGTCGACTCGATGATCATCCTTCTTGCAGCCGTGCTCGCCTTCTTCCTCGTCGGCGCCATCGTCGGCGCCCGCCGCGTCGCCAAAATCCCCACGATCCGACTCGTCTCGACCAAGCAGCCCCCCGAGATGAGCATCGGGACTGGCCTCACGTGGCACCTCTTCAACAGCCACATCTGGTGAGTCATGGAGGGAGAAGAGGGAATGAAAACAGCCGGCGTGATCCCCGTCCCTCACCCAAACGAATAGGTCTACCGGTCAAGACGCCGTCAAGGTCATCAAGGGTGAGCTCGAACAGCTGCTGCCGGACATCAAAGTCTTTCTCGACGCGCGCACATGCTCAGCCGCGCTAGCTACACAGAGCCCAGCTCTCTGACGCTCCGCGGTGTGCTCTCATAGGTAGATGATCTTAAGGATATCGGGGCACTCGAGGAGTACATCCAGCGCTCGCAGGCCATCCTCTTCTTCCTCTCGCAGGGCTACTTCCGCTCCAAGGCTCGCCTCTCCCTGACCTCCCACCCCGCCTCTACCGCACCCTGGCCTTACCTCCTCCTCTCCCGCGCCACAGAACTGCCTCCGAGAGGTTCGCTCGTCGCTCGAGAAGGACAAGCCGCTCGTCCTCGTCCAAGAAGCTGACCCTGAAAAGGGCGGCGGGACGCTGCAGGCGCTGCGCGACGAGTGCCCCGAGGACCTGCAGCCGGCCATCTTTGACAAGGACTGGCCGCTCACGATCTGGTATCGCATCGATGAGTTTCAGCTCATCTCGCTCAAGATCATCGCCGAGGCGCCGCCGGCCGCAGCCAGCCGCTCCGCAGTCCTCTCTACCTCCCGACCGACCCCACTTGAACCACCCTAGGCGGTGCTCCTCTGCTCGCCCAACTTTCTGGACAAGACCTCCCTCCCGCTCTGCGTGTCGGGCGAGCTCGAGAGCCAGTCGCTCGCCTTTTCCAAACCGTGCACGCTCTGGGCCTCGCCTGCCAACGCGGGGTCGCTGGAGCTGGCCAACGAGATCGCCACCGCCTTTGCCGGTCTCACGATCTCCACCACCGATGATCGGCCGGCCGGCGCGACGCACATGCTTCTCTACCTCAACGAGGACAGCTTCGTCAGCGACGAGCGGCTGGCCGAGCAGGTCAAGCAGGCGCGGGAGGACAGGCTGAAGATCGTGATGGCGCACGAGAACGACCCCGCGCTCCGCGGCTGCCAGTTCTCGAGGTTTTTCGAAGTCACGCCGCAGGAGCGAATGTCTCAACGTGACGCCCGTCCCGAGCCACCCCTCCTCCCCCCAACCCTCTCCCCCCAACGCTGCAGGAGCTCATCGCCGGCGGACTCTACAAGGACCTGGCAAAATCGTGCTTCCCGGGGCGCCACCGCAAGGCGCGCGCCCTCTCTCCCACAGCGAGCTCTACCCCGCGTCGAGCGTTTCGTGACGAGGGGCGTCCCTGCCCACAGGTGTCGCTCGTACTTCTGGCAAAGAGCCTAGGCGCGACCCCCGCTCGGTCGCGGGCGGGCCTCCTCGTCTCGGGCAGCGTCGCCGAGGGCAGCACCAACCTCGCGAAGCGCAGCTTTGGCGGCCTGAGCCGGGTGTTCGCCAAGATGAGCAGCCGCAGCTCTGCGGCGCGCGACGTCTCTGGAGGCGAGGCGTCGTCGCTGCAGCAGCAGGTCTGATCGGTTGCGCGATGTCGTGCGCAAAACGTGGGGCGCGGCGATGGCCTGCAAACACGGGACAATAGTAGAGCTAGCTCGCACATGAAACCGCATCCTCGGCGCTCGGGGTGTATGTGCGCGGCATTCACATTGCGTTGGAGAGGGGGGGGGGGGGGGGGAGTCACATGTAGCATGTGCATGTGCATGTGCATGTTGTTGTGCATGTCACGTGCATGGGCAGTCCGGATGGAGATTATGATGGTGGGGTTCCAGCTCTTTCGTCCTGCGTGCCCGAGTATCGTGGTGTACCTGTGTTGGTGCCAGTGCGCGCCAGTCCCGTGCCTTGTTTTGTGAGAGAGCGCCTTGAAGATTCTTTTGTATTCGCGTTACGGAGCCTCCGGAAGGCCTCGAGCTCGAGCTCGCTGGGGTCGCCCTTCGCCTTGTGCTGCACCCGCTGCTGCAGCGGCTCCATGATTATGGAGCACTCCGGGATCTGCGAGGCGTAGAAGTTGACGAGCCCGATGAAGTGCCGCATCTTCTCCTCGTTGCCGGGGAAGGGCAGCTTCTCGATGGCGGCGGTGTTGGCCTCCGAGGGCTTGTAACCGTCGCCATTGGCGACGTACCCGAGGAATTCAACCTCCCTCACTCCAACCTTGCACTTGGCCGCGCGCAAAGTGAAGCCGGCACTGGCGAGTCTGTCGAGGACCTGCCCCAGGTGCCCGAGGTGCTCCTCCCACGTCCTCGAGCAGATCAGGACGTCGTCTATGTACACAATGACGAAGTCGAGGCCCCGGAGCACCTCCTCCATGATTGCTTGGAAGCAAGCGCTCGCCCCTTGCATCCCCATGGCCATGCACTTGAACGAGTAGCGCCCGTTGGGCATGTTGAGGCTCATGGCCTTCGATGCCCGCGGCGTGGCCGGGATCTGATGGAAGGCGCTGTTCATGTCAAGCGCGGTCATGAAGCGTGCGCCGCCCAGCCTGTCGAGACATGCTTGCAGGGTGGGCAGGGGGTAGAACGCAGGCACAGTAGCAGCGTTGACCGTGCGGAAGTCGAAGGCCACCCGGTATCCGCCCTTGGGCTTAGGTACCACCACACAGGCGCAGCCGTGCGCTTCCTGCGAGGGCACCAGTGCTCCGACCGCAAAGAAGGTCCGCTGCATCTCGAGTATGGCCTCCTTCTGCTCGTGCCCCTGGTTGAAGTAGGGCTTGTTCTCTATGACCTTCGTTCCGCCCTTTTCTGGGTCGAATTCGGGGCGGAGGGTCACATCGAACACGCCCGCCAGGCAGCTCCCGATGCGGTCCCCCTTGGGGAACACGTAGCGCCTCCGCTCCGTGTAGGTCTCCATTAGCTGCTTGATGCGCCGCTCGTACGCCTCTGTGTCCACGTCTGCTCCCTCGGGCATGGGGTGGGTGGCCCTAGCGACCTCCTCCGCCGACAGCTCGGGTGGCTCGGGCGGCCGCACTGCGTAGTCGAAGTGGCCCTTCTCATCGGGCAGGTAGTAACTGCACAGCACGGTGCCCTTTTGCAGGATTAGTTCGCAGGTCTCCTTGACGTCTAGGACGACTTGGAAGTGCCCCCCCATGACTGTGGTCACGTACGTGCCTATGCCCAGCCGCCCCGCTGCGCAGTCTCGGCCCACGTCGGTGTCGGGCGGCGGCGCCGTGTAGAGGACGCGCCGTCCCTCCAATTGCGCCGGGACGGCGACTCGCACGATGCCACGCCCGTCCCGACCTTGACGCTGGCCAGCGATCCGCACCTAGGACGCGCACCGTAACGGCTGCGCGTGCCCCGGGGGCTGCCCGGGCGTCCCCTCGTTCCTCCCGTTGAATCCGTGCTGCGAGTGCGAGTAGTGAGTCTCCGTCGTCGCTTCCCACACTGCGCGGCGTGTGGGTGGGGGTCTCTGTTGATCACTGTACTGTACTCTCGCTCTCTCTCTCGCTCGCTCGCTCTCTCGCTCGCTCGCTCGCTCTCTCTCTCTCTCTCTGTGTGTGTGTGTGAGTGTGTGTGTGTGTGTGTGTGTGTGTGTGTGTGAGTGTGAGTGCGTGTCTCTCGCTGAGCTAATTCCTCTGACTCCCGCGCCCGATCCTTGGACCTTGTGGTTGCTGCGAAGTGCGCGAGGAGAGTGAGAGTCTCGTCGTCGTGTCGGGCGTAGCTGCTTTTTGGAAACATGTTTCTACTCGTTGGACCGGAGATGGGGGGGCAGGTGCACACCCCCTGCGCTGCTCAATCTCTGAGATGTTACTCCAGACACCGTACCGCCGTGTCTGTATCTCTCGTTGGTCGTTCTCCCAAACATCTCCCGCAGCTCAAAGCGATCTCCCCTAATCTCCACGGCACCCACCGCCCGCGCACACTACTCGCCGACGACTCGAGAGTCGTTGAAACTGTCAATGCGCGCGCCTATGCATTGGCGACCGCTCC